TTTGTCCCCCCCCCCCACTAGGCAAGTAGTGATTAAGGTTAAGGTTAGGATAAGTCCCCACAAGGAATGAAAACACAGCGATATGTGTGTGTGTGTGTGTGTGTGTGTGTGTTCACAGTAATGAAGGAACATCTCACAGTCCAACAGTGTGGCTCACTGTTGCGTTTTTAATAGTTTTTAGACAACAATGGAGTTTTATGATACAGAGGAGGAAGATATATCAGGTTTTGGTACAACATGCGTTAGTAGGAAACATTCACTGTTCGTTTGAGTGTTAAATATATAAAACCAACATTGAGTGCCATCAGACTTATACCTTGTCTTTGTAGGAATAAACTAAGAAACACATTTTATTTATTGCTAACTTTTCTCTTATATAATGTCTGCCATTGCTACATAACACAGGGGGAGCTCCACACAGGTCAGTATACTCAAACCTCCTGTAAGCATCTTACCTCTGTTGTTGAGTTTGATGTTGAGGGGCAACTGGGTAGCCATTGCCAGCAGGTTCTGCTGCAGGGTGTGCTGCATTAGCTTCTGCTGCTCCTCTGCCACAATCATCATCTTCTTCTCTGGTGGTTCACTGCTTTCCAGTTTCTCTCTGAGCTGCTCCAGAGCTGCCGCCTGCATGGCTGCTGCTGCCTGAGCTGCTGCTGCCTGTTGCATGATGGCCACTGGGCGACAAGTGGAGGGCCACCCGGCTGGGCACACAGCTGGCCATTACTGGCTCCTCTGGAGAGAAGAAGACTAAGAAGGTGATATCTGCCTCTAAACATACTGCACATCTGTATACTAATACGTGCCTAAAGTCATGTATATTAGGCAGTATGTGACAGGCCCTGTCACTTGTCCATAAATGAATCTTATAAAGTTTATAATACTTATTTTGTCTTTGCTCTCACTGTTGCTGTGCAAATATGCTGTACTACAGAAAATAATGTGACTTGCATTATGAACAAAGAGTAGATGAATAGAAAATAGTATAATTCCTGTTAATATATGAAATCCACTAAAATCTATTCTACATCTCTTTCTTAATACATACCCCATTGTTTTTTGGGCACAGTGTTTCTTATATACTACACATTTGCTTCCTACATTTCAGCTCTCTGTTAAGATGCTGTTTTAAGGTTTACATCATTTTAGACTTTCTCTGTTCATAATGGTGAGTGTTTTCAAAGCATTCATGTCCTTGCTCCATTCCTGTTCACCCACTATATGTCGGACTGCACATACAATGCAGAATGTTTTTGATGACTCAGCTGCTGTCAGGTGCATCACTGAGGATGAATACAGGACTGTGTTCCAGGACTTTGCTCAGTGGTGTCAATGGAATGGCCTACATATAAAATCAAAGAGCTGATAATGGGGTTTCATAAATAAAAAATATGCTCCAACCCGACTGGTAAACATCAAGGGGACAGATACAGAAATTGTTCAGACATACAAATACCTGGGTGCACCACTGCCCTTTACAGAAAAAAAGGACAGAAATGACCCTACTTGCTGACGAGACACAGATCCTTTAGAGCAGTGGTCCCCAACCCCCGGGCCGCGGACCGGTACCGGTCCGTGGATCAATTGGTACCGGGCCGTACAAGAAATTATTAATTATTTCCGTTTTATTCATTATCTGAGTATGAACAATCTTTTATTTTGAAAAATGACCGCATTCTCTCGGTTACATCTCGGTCACTCGAGCGCCAAAACTGGCTTACTTGTGGACATATTCAGCCTGCTCAATGAACTCAATCTGTCACTTCAGGGGAAAATGACAACTGTCTTCAAGTTGGCAGATAAAGTAGCTGCATTTAAAGCCAAACTGGATTTGTGGGGACGGCGCGTCAACAGAGGCATTTTGGACATGTTTCAAACATTAGCGGGGATTTGGGGTGAGACTGAGCCTGAGCCTTCATTCTCCCAGTAGTCAGGTAGTCAGAACTGAGGGGATTGTACTACCAGAAGGAAACATAGCAGATGTTGAGGACAGCTACAAGTACTGTACCTTGGGGTCCCGCAGGCAAATGGGAGCCATGAATAGGCCACAAAGAAAGCAGCAACTACCAAGTACACGCAGAGAGTAAGGCAATTCCTGAGAAGCCAGCTGAATGGAAAGAACAAAGTCCGGGCGATTAATACCCTGCCAGTCATCAGGTACCCCGCTGGCCTAATAAGCTGGCCAAAGGAGGAGATAGAGGCTACTGACATCAAGACAAGGAAGCTCCTTACAATGCACAGTGGGTTTCACCCTAAGTCCATCATCTTACTGTACACTAAGCGGAAGGAAGGAGGCCGAGGATTAGTGCACGGTATGTACCACCGTCACATAGAAGAAGTGGCTGATATTGAAAAATCTTACCAGTGGCTGGACAAAGCTGGACTGAAAGACAGCACAGAGGCATTAATTCTGGCAGCACAGGAACAGGCTCTAAGTACAAGATCAATAGAGGCCGGGGTCTACCATACCAGACAGGACCCCAGGTGCAGGCTGTGCAAAAAAATAATAAAAAATGTAACAATAATTCAATCTGTTAAATGAAATAATAGATGTTGTTTCCTGTAACCTAAAAAGACTCTTTGTGAAGCATTAGTGTGTTTCAGAAAAAGGCAGCACTGGTATGAGGAAGTCCTACAAGATGTTTCCTCTTTGGGGGAAATGACCATACTGGCCACAAGTTACATGAGTATGAATGGATGGAAATGGGGCAGCTGTTGTGAAATCAGGTTCTGCCATGTGAACACACTGACTTCTCCTAAAGTGGCTGGGTGATCATGCAACAATTTCTCGAAAAGAAGTTGTGATTTGTGTAATAAATCATGTGCAATCTTTTCTTTGACAAAATGAATCATCTTTTAGACTGACAGAAATACAATTTGAGATTTGTTTATTTATGCCTGTTGATTGCATCATGAACAAAATTAACTCTTACAAAAAAGAAAAAGAAAGGCTAGCACACATGTTCTTATTTTTCTCCTTGACCTGACTGTGTTTCTTCAGAGCAACTCCATGCTTGTGGTCACCGGATTTTGGTTTCCAAAAAGGAACAGCTATAATCAAAACTACTTGTTAAAGCATAATTTTCCCAGATTCCCATTGTTCACATCTGAGTACTCGACAGGTGCATATGAAAAGACTATAAAAACGTTTATAAATACTGTAAAGCGATCCCGCATACTGCCACACTTTATATTTATTATTTATATTTATTAATTAACAACTTTCAGTCTGAACTGACCTTCAGGTATAGGTAACTTCAGTATAATGCACATTCCTATTCCATCAAGACATTGCCAGAGTCATGTCAGTCTCATTACTCTGCTGCTTTAATGACACTTAGCACTTCCAGCAGGCATTTCACATTAAAAGCAGAGGAAGACCTCATGCAAGTTGAGCCAACAGAAGGCTGTTAATGTGAAACATCTTTACAGGAACAAACAAACAAAATGGCAAAGTTAAACCTTGCTGTATGAGTAGGACATGTCTGTTGTTAGTGCTGTGGAATTTGATTTTATACTGAGTTTATCAAGATAACAGGTAAAGTGGTACTTGTATAGTGCTTTTCTATGCTTTACAGCACACTCAAAGCACTTTCACATGGCCATTCACCCATTCACACACCGGTGTCATCACTGGGAGTAACTGGGGGTTCAGTGTCTTGCTTAAGGACACTTTGAAACGTTGACTGGACAAGCCGGGAATCAAATCACTAATCCTCTGGTTAGGAAATGACCTGCGCTACCTCCTGAGCCATAGCCACCCCCAAGTAAAGTGGAGGAAGTGTTGTATGCATCATTGCATCAACAGCAAATTAAGAGAGGATCAGATCAGAGAAGAGAAAGGCTTCTTACCAAAATATGAGAAATAAATGCCTGTCTCTAATATAAGGCTGTTGTAGTAATAAAATAATATTTGAGATTGTATGGTATTGTGCTGTATTATTTGGTAATGTCTTAAACGTTTAGCTCACCTTTCTTGATCACAGGCACCTGGGAGATATGGCCACTGTTGTGAGTGGGAACAGGTAGGTGGGACATTTGTATCTTTGGTGAGGACAGGAGAGTGGGGGTGCCCACAGGAGAGTAGCTGAAGATGGCAGAGCCGTAGCTCTGCCGACGTCCTTCCCGCCGGTTACTGTCGATAGCTGCCTGAAGCTCACCGGGGGAGCTCAGTCCCCGCTTTTCACATTCATATGGGTAGAGGTACTTCATATATCTGCAGGGAGGAAGAATTATTCAATGGCTTTGATGCTGCAATTAGTGCATTTACATGCACTTAAGTTACTAGGTTATAGCCCGCTTTCTCCAGTGAGCTGATTTCTTAATTTTCATAGAATAACAAGCCCAGTTTCCATAATTATGGTAAGGAATTAGAAAAACCTCATTTCTGAGCTACATTTGTCCTGAAGAAGGTCTGAATTTTTTAAAGTTGTCTGAATTTTTATGCTCTACAATTGCTCTTCAGAGGTGTTGGCCAGTGAGTCATGTCATGAACATCCTTGACTTTCCAATGTAATCCTAAAAATACATGTACATTTTTTACCATGTCATGAATAATCTCTGAGATCACAGAGGTGATCAATGAAGGCAAAGGACAAAAGGCAAATGGACATAATCTTCAAGTCCATGTAACACTGGGTGTGTGCTACAAACCTAATTATTACTATTGATTGAATATGGTCCGAAAAATCTTTCATTCCTAAACAGTCTATATACTATGGCGAGGGAATGTATCATTTTGAAAGAAAAAAGAGAGGAGCAGGACCCTTTGTAACCTTAACTGTCCATTCATTTTTATCTGCTCAAAGACAGACAGCCTGTTGACATGGGCATGCTTATATTTATACCATAGCTGGAGTTAAGTGTACACAGACACATTCCTCACATGTGAATGAGAAAACATGATGGCAACCCCCTGTCTGCAAGAAGAAGAGCTCACTTGTCCACGTGGACCCTTGTGGACTTTGGCAGATAACATTTACATCGTGCAGACACTTGCAGACATAAGGATGTGGAAAGCATGAACTGGCCTTAACGCACTCAATAATGTGTGCCTCCTGATTAAGCCTATTGAGAGCTGCTGATGTTTCTGCCTGCTGCCAACAATTCTTGACACTCAAAGGACCTGACAGCTGTTTCACATGAAAATATATTGAACTGTGTTAGTGCATTAAGATAAATGACAAAAATAGTAACCAGACAAGAGCCTAGTTCAGTGACCAAGGACCCAATGGTCACTATACCAGAATATCAAAAGTCCTCTGCAGAGATGGAGAACCTGCATGAAGGATGACCATCTCAGCCGTTCTCCATTAATCAGACCTTTATGACACCTGCTCCAGAGTGCAGAGAGCTGAGAGTGGGGTGAAGGTTCAGTTTTCAGCCAGACAATGACCTGAAGCAAACAGCCAAGACAACACTGGAGTGTCTGACTGACCTTGAGCGGCAGTGTGCAAAGTGTGCAAAACTTGTAAAGACATATGCTGAAAGACTCAAAATTGCATTTGCTTCTACAAAGTATTGAATTAGAGTCTGAATATTTTGGTAAATTAGAGATTTATTCCTGTTGTGTCCATCACACCTGGCCAATAAAGCTGATTCTGATTTCAGTTATTGATTTTTAATACATGTGAAAATTTTCTAAAAAGGTTTTCATTTTTTTCTGTATTAACAATAAGAACATGTTCTTGAAAAACCTTGCAACTTTCAACTCTGGTATCTTAAATTTGGTATTTTCAATAATTTCAAGTAAGACCTGTTACTTTTTTAAACCCTACTGGGACATATTGCCGATTTTGGATAATAAACAAAACAACTATTTGTCCAGAAATCCTTGTATTGCAATTTAACCTACTGACAATTTTTACATTAAAAATAATGATTCATAATAATGTTTATCACTTTACTGTGAGTTGAGAAATGCAGTGCAATGTAACTGGGACTACTGTGTCATATAGAATACTATAATTACTTTGACCATCACCATAATTACCAGAGAAGACCACAGACATATAATGATTGTGCTCTTCACCTGTCTGAACACATGTAATTAAATAAGACAGTCACTTAAAGAATAAGAAATGGTCATATTTTAATCATAACAGAATCATTTAAATAAAAAAAAATTGTATTATCCTGGACACACACATAAAACACTTGTGACTGGCCTAGTGCTAGCAAAGCCGGCTATCAGACCCCTGGGGTTGTCATCTGTGGTTGTACTCACTGTGTCCGGAGAGTGAAAGCTGCACTAGTAATGGAAGTAGGGAGGTTAAGGCCTTTGGTGATCTCACGCCATATTTTCTTATTGATGACTTCCACTAAGCCGCCTTTTTCTGTGACGAGCTTGTAGAGCATGTAGAGATCCAACACCTGCTTGGCCATGATAGGAATCCGATTCACTGGAGTCCCTGCAGAAAGCCAACACAATATCTGCAATCAATTCCATTAACTTTGGTTCCTCCCATCAATAGGCTTCTGCACCTTCTTATAAGGCCAATTTATCTCCAGCCAGTCAAATGTCTGACAGCTCTGTTAACAGCAGGAAATATAACTTTCAGAAAAAGTTTCTAATTATCTGTGCATCTGCTGGAAACTTAATGATAATATATATGACTTAATATAAATTAATTATAAATGTTATTTCTATTATGATGAAATGATTTCCTGAGGTGAACATGCACATTTTTAGTGACAAATTGCAAATCGCTTTCATCTGGTTTAATAATGTAGGTAAATTAGAAGCTGCTCGTAATGCACACTATTAACAAAATATACATAACAAGCATGAACTCAATGAAAAAGTAATTAACAGGAAAAACCACAGATCAGATAAATTAGTCTTGGCTTGTTTAAAACTTCACAAACACAATCTGTGGAAAATGGGAGGTCATCTTCTAATAATGACAAAAAACCTGCCCCCTTATTAGCGAAATAATGGGACTTGGTTAATAATTTGTATTTGCAATGTAATGTTAGGCAATAAAAAGAGAAAGACCATGTCTTTGTGAAGCTTCCAAAGTAGTTGACCCTGAGATAATTAACCTGCATTTTGCTGATAGCGTTCCATTGTGCCCATTGGATTTACCATAATAGCAATCAATAGCTGCAGAAATATAGTGCAAACAACAGCAGTGGGGCCTATACAGTGAAGGGGGAGCAGAGCTCTGAAGTATCTTCTGAGGTGGCAAAACCACATCAATTAAGGACAGTAATTACGGCTCTATTTTGCGGTGCTGGCATGTGAACGAATGAGACACTATTAAAACAAAAGACTGACGTTCCTTTCTCATCACAAGATAATACCAGCAGTAAGTCTGAAGCCACAGTACCTCAACATTGTTCCTTGGAGAAGAAAGTGCAGAAAAGGCTTGATTTAGACCAAAAATGAATAAACTTTCACAGCAGACATGAGATTTGTGAGTTGGTCTAAAGAAATAACAACAATACAATTCACAGGAAGAGAAAGCTCAAAACAAAAAATCTGGTCATGCCAATGTTTTACTTATCATGAAAATAATTCTTTGTGTTACTATGTGTACAAGTAAATGTAGTGGACTTACTCAGGACAGTTTTTAAATGAAAGGAGATCAAGTGAAACCCTGACAAAAACCTTAAATATACAGCTATAGCTCCAAAGTGGCCTAAATCCCCAAATCTCCTCCCAGGTTGCTGCAGATTTTTTTTCAAAGCCAATGAAGTATGGCAGATTTTGTAATATCAACTGTGCAGGAAGATTATGCAGCAGCTTTATCACCTGTCCAAGGACTCTAAAATGATTCTACATTGTTGCTGTTGAAAGCTTCCTGGCAGGTCTAATTGCTGCCTAGTATGACGACACCAATACAGAACACAAAGCTCCGCAGATACTAGTCTGATCAGCTGAGTTTTGTGGATTGGTACACAGTGGCGTAGAGCCAGAGTACATCTGATTATGAAGGACTGTTCCTGCACGGGACTTTCAGTGGACATTTCCATTCTCTCAAAACCAGCATTGCCAACCCATCAGGATTGTGAACTCTGATCCTGCAAGGGCCTGAGGCTAAGGAACTTGGGGGTGACTGTGGTTCAGTGGATAGAGCAGTCGTCTCCCATCCAGCGGATAGGAGGTTCGAATCTCGGGCCCTGCAGTCCATGTGTCGAAGTGTCCTTGGGCAAGACACTGAACCCCTAAGTTGCCCCTGATGGTTAGAGCCATCGGTTGAGTTGGCTCCAGTCCTGTACCGGAAATAAAATCCTTGTGTGTAACATACTTGGCCAAATAAAGGTGATTATCCTAACTCACACATTACTTTCACTCCTCTACTCAACTCACTTGAGGTGCAATTATTATCACCAAAAATAACGCGGAAAAAAATCACACACATATTTAACGTGGCAAAATAAAATAAAAAATCATACCTCTGTCAAAAGTTAGAATCATTTTTTGTTTGAAATTTAACACATGTACAGTATGTGGTGATAATGTCTATCACCAGACCAAATTTCATCCGGCTCTGATGGCCATTTAAAATAAATTTTGAAAACCCCATTTAATGCATATTTTCTGCCATAACTGGGCCTATAATGCAGATAGAACGTTGAAATGTTCAGGTAAGATGCATAACTGCCTATCACACCCTAAAAGATTATCCGGATCCGATCTGGATTTCAAGTATTTTGGCATTTTGTGTTGTTCTGGATCTCATTTTCCACAAGGAACTCTTGCATGAGCAAATGTTGTGCCATGGCAGAGGTACATACACTCTCCGAGTCCTCTTGTTTCTATATAGTATTTATTTTAACTCCTATTTTTGTAAATGTTTTAAGGCCAGTGTTTTAGTAAGTCCAGTTTAGCACATCCTCCCTGGAAAAGGGTAGTTTAAACCTATTTTATATCTTCTCTTTTTTGGTAAAAAAAAAAAAGAAAGACTTTTTTTGTTTTATTTTGGGTTTTTTTTGTGTTAAAAAAATGACTTGTTGAACTTAACTTGCACTAAAATAAATTACTGTGACAATTAACCAGATTTGTTGCATGAGGAAGAGCAGCAACAGATCTCAGTGGTTAGACTAAAACTACCAGCACTATGAACACACTTTGCGCATGTATATGGTGGCAAAAACACTGGGTAATCAGGAATGAACCTGTCTTTAACTATAAACCCTAGGGTTGAATTGTGATTACAACAGATATTAGTGTTATTTCCTGATAAAATGACTTGTGTGGTTTTGACAAACATATGGGTGACAAAGAAAAACCCAACACAAAGAGTGTTAGTGAGGTGCTGGCCCACCACGTGGGACCATTTCAGCTTCAGTGCACCTTGGCATTGACTCTCCAAGTCTCTGAACTCTACTGGAGAGATGAACACCATTCTTCTAACAGATATTCCCTCATGTGCTGTTTTGATGATGGTGGTGGAGACGCTGTCTAATACTTCACTCCAACATCTCCCATAGCTTTTCAACAGGGCTGAGACCTGGTGACTGGGAAGGCCACAGCATCTGATTCACATCATCTTTATACTCATCAGACCAGTCAGTGACCCCCTGTGTCCTATAGACGGCGTCACTGTTATCCTGGAGGAGACCACTCATTTATTCAGGTTTTCTCCTTTCATGGGTCACGTCTGTATATGAATTGTCATTCATGATGGGTGAATTGAGTTCTTGGGTAAAATAGTGTGAAACAAAGCAAAACCAGCACTACAGGTCTTCAACCTCCAGTCTCCACCTACAGCTTATCTTTATTACCACTGATCATAATGTGCGTCAGTGCTTATCTATAAAACTATCATTTTGTTGAAGACACAACAGCCAGCCAAACAAGGATTGAGGTAATAAATAAAAGTCTCAGCCTTTGTCTGACAGAATCTGAGGAGACACAAGCCTCTTAAAACAAGATTTATGTGCTTTCAATACTGAGGGTGATGTATTTGTCTCTCTGATTCTCTGAAAGAGATATAAGAAATAAAAGGCTGTGGATGGAGGCCTTTTGTCAGCACAAACTGTCTTGCCAGGTCATGTATCATTATGACAATGAGTGATTGTGAACAAGGTGGAAGAAATCCATTTGGCACCGAGTCTAACAGTCATCTTCAGTTAATCTCTCAGCTGCTAAGAGAAGAGGAGTTTGCAATTGGAACAGTGTGGAGCAACTGGGGATCTAGTAGTGCAATATTCATCTTTATGCTTAGCTTCATCGCTGACATGTTCACTTTGCACTGGGCCAATAATGGGATGGGAATTTCTCCTCCTCATTGACTTTGCTCTTTTAACCCATGAAATGTTCAGTTAATGCTGCGTTGCAGGGAAAAGCAAGTGTTTATCTACTTCTGTAAATGGCGATGAGGAGGTAGGTTATAATTCACAGACTGTCAAAACCTCCCCAGGTGTTGAAGATTAAGGGCCAGAACAGGAAATACTACTGTATTTGACTGGCCCCAAACCATGAAGTGTAGTCTGGTAGTAGTCGATATTTTTATTATTGTCTTTAAATCCCTTGAAAAGACCCAAACCAATAATAAACTAAGCACTGTGCCTGTATCCAAAACAAGATCTCTCTTATTCTTTGTAGCTATTTTGTTTTAAGTACAAACAAATCAACAAATTGACAGTTTAACAACTGACTGTAATGTACAAATAAGCAGAACAGCAATAAGAAATATTTAAAATTAGTCAAAGATATTTTGGGGAGCATTTGAAATTTTTTGATATGAGTATGGATACAAGACCTGTACTTGTTACTGATGTCAAAACAGTAATTTTTAGTGTCTTACTTTGAGAAATGTAAACATGTTTATACATCTACCAAAAGAAACCCAAGTTCACTTTTGACTGATATCTGAACACAAGCAGCAATACTGTAATTATGACATGCACTTGCAGAACCTAAACAATAATGACTTCCTTTTGCTATCTGTGTGAAGACTACATTAAAGAACAAAGAAAAACATAAAAATAAGGAAAGTTGACTGAAAGGTGAAAGTAGAATGAAGCAGGAAAGTAAAGGAGGAATATTTAGTGTCACAGCAATCGAACACTCGGGCCATTTTTTAAGGTAACTCGCAAGTAGCCCTTTCTTCTGCCACATAGAAATTGTTAAGCAATTAGGTGGGGACAAAAGTTGACTTATTAGAAAAAAAGTGCTGATGGTAGTCCTCAGAGATAATAATCAATTAATAACCACAGCCCTGGGGCACCAGTAAATCACCATGGGTATTTATCAACACACAAAGGAGGCCATCACAGCTATTGTGTGCTCTGCTTTTGATAAAAACTCTCAAGGACGCCATGTCTCTGCTTCCAGTAAAAACCAACACATTAGTATTAGGGTTCCCCTGACAAGAGAAAATTTGTCAGTAAATGTGGTACCAAGTCCCAGGTCAGGATTTTCTTTCTTTTCTGTACTAATGTGAAAGAATGAAGGAGG